GTCAACCAACTCTTACGTTTCAGATTCGCACGCAGAAACTCCACGGTTGTAAATTGTTGCAATGTTTACATCAGCGTATGCACACGGGCGTTCCCGAGATCAACTCCACTTTGAAATTGTAAGAGATTTGTAACGAAACTCAACATTGTCAGCCGCACGATGCTGATTTACTCGCTTTTAGAATGGCCCACTCCGTTCACATTGTCTTCTACAAGCATCTGACGAGCTGGCTCTTGTATGGACATCTGGAGGATGCTCACAGGGAGTTTTTCATACAGGAGACATCGAACTGCGAGAGGGCTTCGACAGACGAGGATGGAAAGAACGACATTGATGCACGCGAGTCAATAACTGGCAAAAAGATTGACGTCAATATGTGGGATTATAACGTTCAGATGGACATGCTTCCATCGTACGTCAGACCGTCGCTGGCAAATAAAATCCTGACCATCGGTCAAACTGTCATTATGTTCGGGAATGATCCCAGACAGAAGAAAGGTAAAAAAAAATTGTGTTACAGTTACGGTCATATGCTGTGCGACAAACAAAATAGTTGTGGAAAGCTGAGTGTACGCTTCAGATTTCAGCACGATATCTAAGAAAGAAAATTCCGTGTGGGGCGACAAAGAATACGAGTACTTCAGGAAACTTCAGAATCTCCAGGCGAAGTCTGTTTTCAACATTGTCGAGTTCGACCGCACGATCAACGAGTTGAAGCAGTGCGTGACCGAGCTTCTGTGGCACGTGGCCGTCGAGGAGGCGCAGCTGATGCAACAGCTCAGACTGGTGAAGGAGTTCTTCCTGATGGGACGCGGCGACCTCTTCTTAGAATTCATCAAGCTCACGGCGCACATTCTGAATAAGGCGCCCACGAGTCATACGTCCAGAGACATTAATCTCGCGTTTCAAATGGCGCTGAGGAAGATGCATCTGAATGACGAAAGCGCTATCGACAGCTTTAATTTCGTGGTGCCCGTGCTACCGTCTGAAAACGAAGACGCCGACACGGACGCCACCGATCTCCCCGATAACGAACGGCAAGATCCTAATAGTGCGTATCTATGTTGACTCGTCGTTGCAATGTTTTCCAAGATAT